TTATCTTGTTGAATGTTGCTTCTTCAACATTAAATTTTTGCCTGTGTCTGTCTTCTATGCACATGTTAAACTTGTCACCTTGGCCCTTATACTCTTGTGTTTATATCCACCATTTTCTTTCCTCCTTCTCTGTGAGTCAGTCTGTATAGCGTTCTTATCTATCAGCAAGTTTATTAATCCTTTCTTGTGCTATGTCCATGCCATGGAAACCCAGTGAGATATTAATGTCAGCGAACTCACATTGAGAATATCTATCATATATAAGATACTCCATAATAATCAATATTTGACTTTTTCTAAATCCTGGTGTGGCACTTCACAGGAGCTCTGGTAGCGTAGTGGTTACGAATCGGGCTGCGAACCTCAGGGTCAGCAGTTCGAAACTACCAGCTGTTCCGCGGGAGAAAGAAGAGGCTTTCTGCTCCCATAAAGATTTACAGCCTTGGAAACCCTGTACTGGGTCGCTATGAGCCAGAACCAACTCCAGGGCACATGATACTGCAAAGCCGTTTGAAATGCAAGGTGAGTGATTCAAGCTCACCAGTTGCTCCTCAGAAACCCTATACCGGGTCGCTATGGGTCGGAACCGACTTGATGGCACTTCACAGCAACAACCTATCAAATAATAACTATTAATATAATTTTAGAAATAGATGAACATAGATTTGCGATGATTTTACCTATTCTAAAATAGTAAAATTCCTGCTTTCTATTCTGTATATGTAGTATTCTTTTTATATTCACATATTTTAGAGTTTTTAACGTCTTTTCATTTGTTAATTATAATTTTTATTATAAATAATTGCATTCATCTGGAGGAAGTAAGAAGAAAAGATCTGAAAAGCAGGGGTATTGATCTTTCAGGAAAGGCTACATTGAGGGGGAATGGCTGTGAGGAGGCATTTCCTGTTCTCAGACCGGCCAGAGCACTCTGGTTGCCATAGAAACAAGACGTCAAGATGGCGTCCTGGATGATGACGTTTCAATAGAGACTGACATGATCTGGTGGGAGGAGCAGGTTGCCGCCTGCAGGTTTTAGAGACTTGGCAGAGGTGTTGGATGCTGCCTCCTGTGTGGGGAGGCAAGTCTCCACTTTCGCGTTTTGGGACTGGATGCCCAGCTGCCTCTTCAAGGAGAAAGACCATTCATCGTCCCGAGTGAGCGTGCTGTTCTGTTTCCGGGGTGTCCTGGAGGGGGTCTTGGGTGGTCGGAGAGGAGAAAAGAGAACGTGCATGTGCACGCGCGTGTTTGCATGCATGTGTGTTCACGTGTGCATGTTTGGCTGCAGCTGCCGCGGAGTGCATATTGTGAGTACTACTTGAGGTAGTTACTGTGGGTCAAGTCCGTCCTTTGAATTCCTAGCTCCTATTAGGAACCAGATCAGGCTTGTTTGTTTTCCCAGGCTTACATCCACAGTTCGCTGACTAACATGGGATTCGGTGCAAATGAACCTCCATTTGTGATTTTTGCCTGAACACCATATTGCTTATAGGATAGTTGTCAGGTGTTGCTTTTCGAATTCCTTCTGGGTTAATTAGCATTCCAGTATAGAATAGGCCTTTTCCTTATCTCTTGTCTACCCATCTGCTTATGCATTTATTCATTTTTGTGTTGATTTGTGTTAGTAAGACTCATAGGTTCCTATTTTCTCAAAGGTTTTCCATCTCTTACTCTCATTGCGAATTTTGATGCATATCCTGTGCTCAAGGTGGCCTTTGGAAACCCTTTGAAGTGGATCTCTATGTCTATGTGACACCTTCCTACCAGTGGGTTAAATGTTGGGCTGCTAATGGAAAAGTGGGCAGAATGGAAAGATTTACAGTCTCAGAAACTCTGTGGAGCATTTCTACTCTCCCCCATAGTGTCTCTGCGAGTCCAATAGACTTCTCATTCTCAGAATTGGGTTTGGGGTTTTTTGGGTTAGATTTCTTTGAGTATGTATTTTGCCCTCTGAACCTCTCCCCCCATATGTAAGGCAAGTAATGATGCCTACTCCAGAGAATTGCTTTGAGGTTTTGAACAGAAAAAAGCAGGGAAATCAAAACAACAACAACAACAAACAAAGCATCTGTAGCCCTCCACAAACACCCCTTCCCAGTTCCATCTGTGCCTCCTTCCTTTCATGAACATCATGCTCATGACGGTAGGCTAATGCTCTACCTAATCGAGAACATAGTGGGAATTGCACCAGCAAGCAGGGCTGAGACGCCATTTCATAGTCTGTGAGCTTCAGTGTCACTGCTGTGTGCTGGAAGGGCTTGTCTGATGGAGCTGGGAAGAGGAAAAGCCTGCGCAGCTTCCAGTTCACTGAGTGGGGAGAGGCCAACATGGTCCTCAGCCCTTGCCCTTCCGCTTTATGTACTTTTCCTTCTCTGACCTTTCTCTCTATTTCTTGTGCTTGCTTATCCTCCTACTCTCCCGCCTGCTGCAACACTAGAGAATGACATTAAGAATTGAATACGCAGACACTTGAGAGAGCCAGACTTGGAAGGGACTGTTTTGTTTTTCTGGGTCTCTCAAGTTTTCCACTTTTACCAGTTTCTATTGCTCATTGTAGTGGAAAATATGTTCAGTTTTCTTTTCTGACAGGTTTGCTCCTTCCACGGGTTCCAGCTCTCTCAGGTTTTACTGTGTACATCATTTTTTGTAAAATTTACTCTTCAAATGTCATCTTCTATAATTAAGGACAGCAATGAGATGATATCCTACTTAGAGGTTTGTAAAATGTTTCTTGTTAACAAACATCCTATTATGAACATCCATACCTATCAAGCAAAGGGTCATCAGAACCCACCAAGAAGCACCTCTATAATCTTCTCCCTTGAAAGCCCAGAGAAACGATTCTGCTCTGCAACAAAAGGGCCCCCAGGGTCTGGACTTACTGGAAGGTAACTAAAACCACCACCACCCAATGTGGTGCGTGCAAGCAAATGGACTGGATGGGGAGAGGGTGGACTTTCCCAGGAAGGGTCCATGTCAATAGTGGGATTACGCCACCCTCCTGGCATGAGATCTATTTTGTCAGCATGCAAGCCCACATTCAGTAGCACACTGAGGTTTTGGGAGTGGAGACCCAGAGTACAGAGAAATGCTTTCTGAGAAGCCGTTTTATAATATTTGATATCAGTCTGCTCCAATTTCTGCTTCTTGACATGCATTCTCCATCTTCACCCAGCCCTTACAGCCCCTTTCATTTTGATGCAGAAGAAATGTCATAGAAGATTCATAGAGTTCTTGAGAGGCGACGAGTCGGTAGCTATGAGAATTTAAGATGTTAAGTTTATCTACTTAATCCCTGATTTCTGGAAATCTACACATTAAGCTGATATATTTCTACCAGTGTTAATATATTCTCTCATTGTTTTACTGAATGCCTCTCCCTCTCTCTGTAGGACGAGACACTCCTTCAGCCTTAGGAGGACTCTCCTTTGATAAGAAGGTCAACATCTCATGAGGACTCCCGCTGTGTGCACTGGCTAACATAGGCAAATGAGGTAGGATCTATGTATGAGAGAGGGATCATACAATGATATGCTTGAAATAGTAGTTTTCATTATCTGCCTCCTTTCTAAATACAGTTGCCCCAGTTGTATGACCCACTCCTTCACCTCATATTTTATTCATTGAAAGAGTTGTGGCCTCTTCTGGAAAAGGATTGACTTTAGGATCACAGGAAGGGGTATTCAGACACGCTCTAGGTCTGGGTGGTTGTCTGGAGAATCATTGAAGGAGAAGCCGGCAGGTGGTACGCTGCTAGCATGGCCTTGAATATATAAAAGCAAATGTGATGACCCATGTTATGGGTATTTGGCCATTGCTAATTCCTCTGTTTTTTCTGTTTTCTGCCCTGTTTTTCTGTCTATTAATAGATCTGTCCTTTTCCTATACATACCTTTAGGTAACTGTTTCTTGGAGTTGATCAAGAAAGGTGATTTGGATTCAAGGTGGGTATGAGCAGGAGCACCAGTGCTGATTGAAGTGGAACTGTTAGCAGCAATCTGGTGAGACCAAATCATATCGTAGACTCAACTTTCCAGAAACGTCAGCTCTCCCATAGTTCTGCACAGGAAATTGGGGTGGTTGAGCCAAGATTGTGTCTGTAGGGTAATTGGTAAGTACTGGGGAGGGGAATGAGGAGGGGAGTGATGCAAACAGGGACCAAGAAGGTCAGAAATATTACATAAACAGTGTGGTAGGTTTGCAAAGTCAGGTGTTAGATAGAGAGACCAGAGTGTATGTCCGTCTACCCAGAATTCGAATTCCTCATGTGTTTTTGTTTGGATGTGGGTTTGCTATAGAGCTTGGCAACATCGGAAGCCAGAAAGGAAAAGAATATTGCACCAGATCAGTGCAGACTGATGTGAGAATGGAACCTGCCTGGATAGATTTGTAGGGTATAGTGGTGCCCACCAACATTGGTCCAAAAGGGCTAGGTGCCCTTTTATTCCTCTTACTCTAACCCAGCTTCTATACTGTCCTTGCTCCTATTTAATATAGAGAAAAAAGTGTGGTGGGATCTGGGTAAGATATTTTTTTTGGCATGCATGAGAATGTGGAAGAGATAAAATGAGATGTGCTTTCTACTAGTCTCCTTGTACCGCGTAACTGTTCTATATTTTTCATGTCCTTTTATAAGACTACATGCATACAGCAGTACAATTGGAACAAACTCAAAGCCCCATTTCCTTCTTCCAACTCAGGTCCATCTCCAGTGGTAGCTGTGGTGACATTGGAGTGTCAGGAGACCATCATTCTCAGCAGGTCTTCAACCAGAAACCGTCATCTTCTAGCCGGACTGTGCTTCTCCCCTCTGTCTGTTATACTAACAGAGATTTTGTATCTGGATAAGGGAATTTGTGTGTGCTGAGCTGACAATTGACTCTAACGCTTGCTTCGTAGGACATAGTCTAACTCAGTGACGGTGTGTTCAAGACGCTGGCCTCTGATACATTGAACACTAAGGCAAATACTGAACAGGGTAATTGAAGTAAACATCAAGCATGTCTAAGAACAAGAGTAGAGCTAAGGGTAAGGCTAGAAAGGGGGCTGGTGTAAAAGCTAAAGCAGGTAAGGAGGCTCTTGGCATGGTCAGGCTGGTAGCCAAGACCCAGGCCAAGGCAGGGTTTGAGACCGGTCCAGTAGCAGAGAAGAAAGCCAGGTCTAAAACTAAGATTGCTTCTGAGCAAAGGAAAGAACGAGTCCGATCAGAACCTAAGTCTACGGCCAAAGCCAAGTCTAAGGTCATGCCTAGATCCAAGCCCAGGACAGGGAAGGAGATCAGTAAAACCTTTGGTCCCTGGGCTGAGAAAGAGGCTACTGTAGTATCCTGTTTATCTTCTGTGGTTAAGGCCAGTGTTGCATCCAGGTGCACATGTAAAGATGATTCTGGTATTGATGCCTGGTTCTGGGATGGGGAAGAGGCCAGTATTGGCTCCTGGTTCTGGAATGGGGAAGAGTTTGGTGATGGTGTCTCGTCCTTTGAGGAGGAGTTGAGTATAGAGCCTGTGACCGAAACCAACTGCAAGCCCATGCCAAGGGCAGAGGAGGAAGAGGGAGAAGACATTTTTGGAAACTGGTTTTGGGATGGAGATGAGACTAGTTTTGACCCTAATCCTAGATCTGTGAGCAGGATAGTTAAGGCCAAGGTTGAAGATGGATTAGATGAACAAAACAGACCCAAGGACTGGTCTGAGGCAAGTATCTGGTCCAACACCATTGCTGAAATTTCAGCAATGTTAGCATTGAGGGCAAGGCCTCCTTCCTACATTGCCCTGCCCACAGCTAGGAAAAACACCCTTTCTTTGACTGCAGCAGAAGTCAGTTTTTGTGAGGGCACTACCATATGCCTGCAGTCAGTACAGGAGCACCCCTTTGATTCTGAGACTTGCACTCAGACCATAGAGGAGATCAGAAGGCAACTCAGGATCAGAAAGTTGAATGGGATTAAGCCATTTCCTTGTCCTTGCAAGATGGAGTGCTGCCTGGATTCTGAGGAATTTGAAAAACTTGTAGGCTTACTTAAGTCAAATTCTGATCCTGTCATTCACAAAATAGCTCAAATTGCAATGGGTATCATTAAAGTTCATCCATTTGCCCAACAATTCATTAATGAGTTGGGTGTGCTGACAGTTATTGAAAGCTTGCTCAATTTTGAATCCCCTGATGTGACAAAGAAAGCTGAAATTACTCTGAATCCCATTTCAGTGCGTGAACGACGGCGCATGATTGATATACACGTTGTGCACATGTGTAAGGAAACTGTTTCTTTCCCCTTGAACTCACCTGGACAACGATCTGGATTAAAGGAACTGGGACAAATCTCCACTGATTCTGACCATCACTGCATTGTTTCCTGTTACCTTTCAGAGCTTTTCCACATACTGGCCCAGGGAAATCGTAAAACCAGAAATCTTGTTTTGAAAGTACTTTTGAATATGTCTGAAAATCCCACTGCAGCAATAGATATGATTGAAACCGAGGCATTATCGGTATTGAAGCTCATCTTCAACCAGAAAGAGGCCAAAGCCAACCTGGTTTCTGCTGTGGCCATATTTATTAATATAAAGGAGCATATCCGAAAGGGATCGATTGTAGTTGTTAATCCCTTGAGTTATAATGAACTCAAGGCCATGTTCCGTGAAATTAAAATGATTATAGAGAAACTGTAAAATAATCCAGAAATGAAAGAGAAAACGTGGGCCAGTCTTCAAACTTTACTAAGCTGTGTGTTCCCAAAGAGCCTTACATAAATTGGGGTTCTTGTACAATGTGTACATTATCAATTGCATCTTTAACTTGATGCTTCTTGTGATAGTGTTTGAGCTAGACTGTACTTGGGTATCAAGTGAATCTTGCCTCTTGAGCTAAAAATGCCAGTTGATTTTTATCTTGTCCGGTTTGGGTAACTTTTAACATTGTTTGTAAGTAATTTGTGTGCCAACTTTGTAAGTTATCTAGTAGTTTGTCCTTTAGCATCTATATAGAGTGTTTTGTAGCTTTCTGTGGCAAATAACAAAAAGCAAAAGGAGAAAGAAAGCCTTCGAATTTATAGTACAGTAGTAGAAGTAAAGGCATATGCACACAAAAATATAAGCAGCAGTTCCTACAGCATAAGTATATGCTCATTGACAAATGTGCCCTCTTGTTACTTAAAGGAAGCTGGGATTGCTGTAGTATGGACAGTTTCATGTAAACGGAATAGCTGTTACTCCCGTAGTTCCCTGCGTCTGACAACTAATTCTACAACACACAAATGAACCTCAATCTCAGTCAAAATGTAGTATTTATTTCTTAATGTTAGTAGCTTGTCTATTTGATCTGTGTCAAAGTTTTATCTTACAGAAAAGAAAGTAGATTTACAGAGAAGATGTTTTTGGAGTTGCCTCCTCTAAGGCAGAAACTACTGGCATTATGTGAGGTTTTTGGGTTTTTTTTTTGTTTTTCTCTTTCTCACTAATTTCCTATGAGATACACTACTGGTATTTGTTTTTATTATAACTCATTAGTCTGGGTACTCAGCAATGAAAATTGTCAGGTGCCCCCGAGTCAGTTCCAACACTTAGCGACCCTGTATTGGGATTCCAAAAAGCAGCTGGTGAGTTTGAACTGCTGACCGTGTGGTTTGCAGTCTATTGCTGATCCTGCAGCACCACACAGTGAGAATTACAGAGGTTAAATATTTTTTCCTGGGTACCTACATGTAGCAAATTGTATGGCTGTTTTGTCTGATAACCATGTTGGTCTGACACCACACCCATTCTCACCTTACTACCTTAGAGTCCTCCTTCACTTTTTCATGTGGTGGTCTTCAAGTCTCAGTGCCTGTTTTTAATGGCTCAATTCTGCTGTGCATGGTGTCTCTGCCAGATTTGCAATTCTTTTTTTTTCCCTAAGTTTTTATTGTGAATTATGTGATAATTTACATGTTAGAACATTAGCTTTACATTCATCCTATCGTATTTCGTTTCATTGCAATGATTACAATCCCCTGCATACATCATCAAACAACCAAAGGGCACACCCCACAAACCTGTCCCCCGGCCGTCAGCATACAGCCCCTGTCCCTCCTTGAGTCTAGAGTCCCCAACTGCTCCATCTCTCCACGTCATTGTCTCTGCCTCCATCTCTGGCATCAATCCTTCTCTGGATAGGTTTCCGCACTCCACTTTTCTCACTTAATGGCCCCATGGACATCAGCTCCTGGACTGCAAAATCAACCACTCCCCTCCTTTTGTTACAAAATGTCTACCTTTACCTTTCCAACACTCACAGTCAGTCCTGATAGCAATCATTTACAATTGGACCACAAGAGTCTTATCCCCATCTCCTTTCATCAGCCGCATCCAGACAGGTTGGAGAACACTCAGTGGAGATTCTACCTTTCCCCGCACCCTCAGGAACTAGGTTCCCTATTGAAACCTTGTAAGCCATTCACTTCTTGCCTTTGCCAGCCTCCCCCCGCCCCCCATTTTGGGTAGCCAATGTCTAAATTGCTCATCCTTGTTGATCCTGTGTACCAAGGGATTGGGAATCATCCTCGCTTTAAAGATTTGTTTCCTCCTTTGACCTACTGCCTCCACAATATAGGTCAAGTTTATCAAATTGTAGTGGAATACTCTTTTTTTTTTTCCCTCTAGTTGAGTTCTGATCATCCAGCCATTGAAGCCAGGTCAAGTGGGTACTATCTGCAAGTATGAGTGTTCTTGTGTATCTCCCCTCACTTCATATCAGCTGGATGCTTTACTCTCCACTCTAGTCCTCTGTGGCCAAGAAGTCCCAGATCTTGTCATACTGTTGGCCCACAGGTCTCAATCCAGGTTAACAGAAGTCTATGGAATGTGGTCGGACTTAGCTCACAACTTCATTGCTTTTCTCCCCCACTTCCCCTTATCTGTGACCAATGTGGTCAGCAATAAGAACACATGCCTGCTCGTGTATTCCCTTTGAGTTTTAGTCTTGGAAGGGGTGTTGACCTGAGGGGACCTGATGACTTGCCTTGAAGGCTCCAGGGTGAACATCTTGTTTGTTTTGTAGTAGTCAGTCAGACTGCCATTATTGTTTTGTTTTGTTTTGTTTTGTTTTTTTCCTGCTTGTCTGTCTTTCAAGAAGTATCTCTGTTCTTCTAGTCGCTCCAGGCTAGTTTCCTTGTCCTTTCAAGTGGAAATTTCCCACCTCAGGAGGTTCTGGATGGGGTTCAGGATTCCACCTATGGTCTTATGCAATGCAAAGACTCTGCAGGAAGACTCTTTCACTGGGCAAGTTCTAGCCCCAGTATTCCAATCAGTTATAGGCTGAAGACGGACTTACAAACTTTGTATGGTGATGTTTCTGGATGTTCCTTTCTCTCCCCCTCAATTGTCTATTTTACAATAATAGGTAAGGGAAACCAAGATTCAAAAGACAGCCAAGCCTCTTAATATTATTTCCCCACTTTTACCATTCAAACCATGCCTCAATCCTTGTATTCCAGATCCCTGTTGTTCCAAGGTTGTGCTTACATCATTGTTTACCTCTGTCCCATTTAGCCCTTGCAAACCTGCCTAACTCTTCTCCTATCTGCTTTGTTCTTCCTTTGCCCTCCTCCTTCTAGTGTAGTGCCCCAAACATAGCACCCAGACTTACTTGTGTCTATTCCCTACCCTATGCTCCACATTCCCTTTCCTTCCCTCACCCTACTCCATATACCCTGGTAACCAGCAAAGAATTTCCCCCCTTTTAGCGTGGGTACTTTTTCTTCATCTTTTACGATAATGGTTCTATGCAGTATTTCTTCTTTTGTGACTGACTGATTTCACTAAGCATAATGTCCTCAAGGTTCATCCATGTTATGCAGTGGCTTGCAGCTTCCTTGTTTATTCTTCAAGGTAGCATAATATTCTATTGTGTGTATGTACCAAAGTTTGTTTATCCTTTCTTCCATTGATGGGCACTTAGGCTGTCTCCATCTTTTTGCTATTGTAATAGTGCTGCTATGAACATTAGTGTGCATATATCTACTCATGTAATGGCTCGTTTTTCTTGTGGATAAATACCAAGTAGAGGAATTACTGGGTCATAAGGCATCTCTATTTCCAACCTTCTGAGGAAGCGCCATATTGTTTTCCAGAGCAGACCTGCAATTCATAACATTTAACTTTCTCTAAGTCAACATGTTCATTAGGCTTTTGACACCTCCTGGTTGGAGCTCAGGAGAAAAGCAGTCTGGATAAATGTATGCATTTGGCCTGTCCGTGTCTGGTGAACAATAGGTGCTCAAAACTTTGTTTAATGAGTAAGATGTATGTAGATTGGGAGTCTCCAGCTAGTGGAACTTTGTATATATCCTTCCCTATTAATATGCATTTCCTGCAAAGAATTTGAGTAATTGTATATGTTGTTTGATAGGCTTTGTGTAAAAAGTCAATTGTAACATTAATTTTTGGGGAACATTTATGACTTATTCTCTTGTGTAACATAGGGAAGACTGGAGAGCCCCATCTTTTACTAGGAGGTAAGCCCTCTTTCTGCATTTCTATGTACCATCTACAACGGCATGAGTAAACTTAATCAAAGAAATTTAGACCAACAACATGCAGGTTCTGCAGCACAGTACAGGAAAGGTCAGAGAGGGGTTGCCTCTCAACCCCAAAATAGAATTGTGTAAGGAGCTCCAGTGGCACTGTAGGATAAGGACTGGTCTGCTCTCTACAAAGTCGGCAATTTAAACCCACCAACCACTCCTTGGGAGAAAGATGAGGCTTTCTATTACCAGAAAGATTTGCAGCCTCAGAATCCCCAAACAGGTTTCCTATGCATTGGAACTGACTTGGCATCACACAATAACAACAAAGGCATATATGGTCCAGAAAGTATTCCCAGGGTTTTGGTCTGTGGCAGAGTTCTATAAGTCTTATGGCAGATAGTGCAATCCATGGTCTGGACTAAAGGGAAAGTCTCCATATGTGAATGTATCGGGTTACATACCTTAAGACTCTTACACAGTTAAGACAGAAAAATGAAATTGTACTCTAAATACTATTTGTAACCTATTTTCCCCTAACAGTATATTGTGGAAATCTGTCCATGTCAATAAATATACTTCTACCGTATATTTTTGAATCATGTAATATTTTCCTTATGTTATCTGTTAGTAAGTTGGAAATTACATAACTTTTTCTTTGCATACTTTCTAATCTATACGTATATACACAAATTTTTTTGTGTGTGGTGTTCTTCAACCTCTTATTTCCTGAATTCAGTATTACACAGATCTGTCATATACTTTTTATTTAATAGCTTTGTGGAGGTACAATTGACATATCAAACTGCACATAATTCCTAAGTTTAGATATGTGTACACATGCATGAAAACATCATAGCAATCAAGAAAGAGTGACTATATCCATTGCCCATAGAAGTTTCTTCATGCTCCTTACTGGTACTCCTCTTGTTTCATTGATTTCCTGTTTGACTTCTTCCTCTCAGTGTGTGTGTGTGTGGGGGGGGGGGGGGAAGGGTGTTGCATAGCTATACTTTTATTGTGTTTAATTACCTCACAATATTCCATTGCATGGTTATAGCACATGTTACTTATCTACTCTCCTGTTGATGAATGTCTAGATTGTTTCCAGGTTTTGGAGATTACTAATAGAGCAACTGTAAACATTTGTAGATACATGATTTTATTTAT